TCCACTGCAGACAAATTGAGACTAGCCACCTCTGCTTAGGAGTTTGACTTTCTCTAGTCGGTAGGCATTCCCTATGCCGACAGTGGAGGGTGCAGACAGGTAGGGGGTGTCAGCAAAGCATGCACGCACCCCTCAAACATCTGCCAGCTAGGTGGATTCACTACATGCATTAAGGGTCATACACCTCCAATCTGTTCTTACCACTTTCCTTTCTATTCTAAAGATCCCTCCTTTGATCACTCCAAAATAACTCACAAGCTGCAGCCCTTCCAACTCCCATGTCCTCAGCACATTTTGAGCCCCTTTTCAAGGTAAACTGCTATATTTATTGCAGTCCTTACATATTTCTTAATCAGTATACATGTGTAAAACTGTTCTACTGTCTTTATTCATTTTCTGTCTTTTAAAAAACATGTCATTGACTACATTCCTAGATAGTGTGACCTAACCGTATTTCTCCCATAATCCCTGTCATGCTACTGCTCAATTCTGCATAGGCGGTGATTTTCTGGAATGAATGTGTCACGTTATAGCTGAACTGACTACTGACTATACTTTTAAGGCCTACAGATTAAAAGATATATGATCCTGTGAAAGTGGGGCAGGTTTTCTGACAGAGTTTGCAAGATCAGACTTGAGAACCCAGGAGATCTGGCCACACTATTGGTAAATTTATCCATTTTCATTTTACTTTTTCACCTTTTTTTTCCTTGAACCATTTAAGCCTTTAGTGCTCATGTTTACCTTCTCCAGCCTTCTGTCTGCTATTGTACAGAGAGCTTGGTATCTGTGATACAGCTACTGGGAAGTATCCCTGAGTTAGTGTGTTGGTGGCAATGGCAGTTAGTAAGAGAATACAGCAAGGAAGGTTTATCTTCAGCAATAAAAGTCAGGGCTTTGACATTTGCCTCCCATTCCTCCAGAGATTCTCCTTTCATTGTCATTTTTGGATGACCGAGCTGTGATTTTCCTAGAGAAATTATGGGTTCCATTATAAGTTTGATTAAACTTGATCTCAGAGGTGCCTTTCAATGCTTAGATGATTAAAAAAGAAAAGGGATTTAAACTTACCATCTGCTGGTTTCTCACTTGTGTCACAACATGCTTGTCCCTCCAGTCAAATCTTAATGGCAAAGACACATTGGGGATGGACATATGTACTTCTTCTGAGTATCTGGGATACTTGGAAGGTTTGCTTCTTAAATAAATGGCTGAGTAGAAACATAAAATGAAAAGACCACCATTATTATATTATGGGGGTGGGGGACTCTTGGGATTCTTTGGGAGAAACTTTTCAAGAGGAAATGGTAGCCTTCTACTAGACCTGCCATTTTAGATTTGCCTTTGTGCTTTTGTATAACATAAAATGCATTCACTGATGACTACAAAAGAGAATTCCTACAATAAGGCTGGAGCTGATACATAAAATGACTTGTTTGATAGAACCAGGTCAGTAATAAAAATGAGTAGAAATGATATCATTGGTTCTATTATAACCCATGGAACCATGTGTGTCCTGAACAGAAACAGCACTAGAAAACTGCGGAAGTGATTAGACAGTTGTCCTTTATAGCTACATGGAAATGTTCATGATTATAATATTTGTTTCTTAAGCAATAATTAGAAGAGAGTGTCCATGAAATTATTTTCTTATGTGAGCACATAGTACATGCCTGACACTTAGCAGGTAAATATTTCACAAATGTTAACTATTACTCAATTTATTAGATTTATAATTAAATATTTATCAAAAGTTAAGCAAGTCAAAATCAGGAAACCACCCAATGGCACCATCGGACCATACCTTTAAACTCTTCAGGAAACAAATAAGAAAACTGATTTATTCCGTAGAAGGCGGTCGAGTTTTCACTGGGAAATAAAGAATTCAAGTATCGATGTCTATTAAGGCTTTCCTAAAAGAAAAACAAAAACTATTTCATATCTACTATATCGGTTTTCCAAAGTAAACTGTGTATAACTAACTTGGAGATATTTTTCAATTATAAACTGAAAGCTTTATTTTCTTCAGACTACAATGTAAAGTTGTGTAAGATATCCACAAGAGATTCATAAACATTTTCTGTTAGAACTGTTACCTAATTTCAGACACTTTTTGAGGCTGAGAAAAGTGTAGTTTATTCATTTATAATTCCCCATCACCAGGCTTGTTGCCAGCATTGTAGATACAGCTGTTAAAGTACTGACATAGTGGGAAAAAGGTAATATACTGCAAATAAACACGAGATACTAGATTCACTCGTGGTTAAACAATGATGAATACAGAACACGTCTTCTTCACCTTTGTGTTTCCAGGAACTAAGTAATGAAACATGAAAAACGGACAGAGTAAATAAATTAATAAGTCAATCTGATTCTATTAAAGCTTTATAGATCTCTCTATCTCATGTAGGGTGCAAAGGCCCTGTGACAGATGCAATTCTGGAAACGTTCGAAGAAGACAGCCTGGTTTCTCTATCTGGAAGGAAAATGTGACCATTATTTATTGATTTCTCAACTTAGAATTTTGTGATAATTTATCTTAAGCTTATCTTTTATATGAGCATGCTTCAATTTCCTAATACTAACCAATTACGCAGAACAAATAAAATTTCAGGGGGCTATCATTTGGTACATTTCCAACCCTACTGCTTCTGCATATTTGTTTATGTACTTACGTGTTTATTGTGTGTTTGTCTTAAAAGCCAATAAGCAAAATGACAACTGACTTACAGGTCTTATTCGTTACCATGATACCGTCACTGAGCATGTGCCTGGCACACAACAGATCCTCAATAAGTATTTGTTGTTGAATAAATAGATAAGTGACATTTTTCATGTCATGCCCTCAATAACTTTAAACTGTTTATTTTTAAGTAAATTAATGCTGGAAGTTACCATAATCTTATTTTTATTTTCCTTTTGTGCATACCTAGGAAGACTGCTAACCAACAAAAATAAAGTTTCTGAGGTAGTCAAAAATAATCTTGATGAAGCAGGGCTTTCAATATGACCTGGATATATAAACGTAAAAATAGAACTAGAATACAAGGTAATTCTTTCTATGGCAAATGACAAATGTAAGCCAGAGACTATTGCTAAGGAATGCAGTGGATTCATTCAATCAGTAAGTACTGCCTGGCCATCTCTGTGAGCTGGAGTAGTCAGGAAGGCACTGAGAATGTAGGATGTTAAGAACGCACAGGAGAGAATGTGGCAGCTGTAAGAATGTGCCTCCCGCCTTCTTTCTACAGGGAGCTTAGTTGCTGCTAGTTGAATCTCCATGAGCACACCAAGGGAAGCCACAGTTCCTGTGGGCTGCACCCAGGTCATGACTGATCGCCAAGACTCGCTACTTGGGGGACAAATGGGTCTCTTCTGCCAGTTGATTTTTGATTAATGAGTCCCCGATGGCTTTGCTAAACTTTCAAACTTTTCAAACTTTCCTTGGACTGTGAGACTTCCCCAGCTTTCTTTTCCTTTTTCCTTCTTTCAGGGTCTGAATTACACTGCAATCAGATAGCTCTACCTGGCCCTCTTCCTGTTCACTCATAGGAATTGTTCCTAGGATTGGCTAAAAAAAAAAAAAAGAAAAAGAACAAGAAGTCATGAATGACCAATTTGCCAATATTAGGAATGAAAGAAGAGCCATGATTACAGATGCTTCAGGAATTAGAAGAATAATATTTTGACAACTTTATGACAATAACTTGGCAAACTGTACAAAATGGACAAACTTTTGGAAAGGCACAGATTGCCAAAGCTGGAAGGAGAAATAGAAAACCTGAGCAGCCTTTTATCAACTAAAAGCATTACATTTGTAAGTGAAAACTGATTCACAAAGAAAACTGCAGACCAGATGGCTTTTTGGTAAACTTTATACAATGAAGAATGAAGTAATACCAATATCATTCTTTGAGAAAATCAAGAAGAAGAGAACACACCGCAACTTCAATAAGACCAGGGTTATCCTGATTCTAAACCAGAAAAATATATCTAAATAACATAGAGCTACATACCGATATCCCTCATAAATACGCTGTAGATGCAAAATCCTTAACAAAATAGCAAATCAAATCTAACAATATATGTAAAGCACAATACATTGTGACCAAGTAAAATTTACTCAGAAATGCTAGGTTGGTTTAAGTATTCAAAATCAATCATCATGTTTATACATCATATGAACAGAACAAAACAGGAATATACCCCCCCCACACACACACACGAGGTATAAACTGGTATACCCTTTCAAGATTTTTAAAATGACAAAATTGTTTAACTAAGAAAATCTAATTCTAGGAATGTATTTTAGACTCATGCGCGTAGGCAATTCCATAGCCCTAAGCATTGCGTGTGTACATGTGGGTTCTACACATGTGTGTCTGGGAGGGGAGGCAGTAGTTGAGCCACACACTCTATTTAGTTGGAGAGCTAATGCAAGTTTATTTTACTAGATTGTTTGTGACATCTATGAGAAAAACAATACGTCTCAGGCATCTTGACTCTCTTAACCTTTCCAGTTGTGGCTAACAATAATCTTAGACAATGTTCTGGTTAGGGTAAGTTAAGAGGAAAGACGTCATGTTCAAAACAATCTAAGAGTAGAAACCCATGGAGAACAGCTTGAGGAGTCCTCAGATATTTACTTAATCTACTTCCTTGAGAAGAACTCAAGTTGGCAAATACCAGATGAAACAAACTTGTACATCACTGTCAGGGAGCTCCCATGTCCTTCTCTTAATTTTTGTGTTGCCTTATGAATGTCATTTCACCATCCAGAGTTTACGTGTTCTGGTTGTGAAGTAGTTAAAATAACACCAGTTTAATAATGAAAAAAATGAACGTGTTATTTATTTGTTTTCAATATTTATGTCCCTAATTTTCAATGATGATTCCAATAACAGTTACTTGGTTTTGGTCTTGTGCCATGTGTTTGAAAGGACAAATATCTCCACATATATTTTCTATTTGTTACCACTTGACATTGTTGTTTTTTTTTGTTTTTTTTTTTACTTTTTAAATGGCTTTATTTTATGTGCAAATAATGAACAGATGTTGTACCCATAAATTCTACTTTCCAAAAACAGGAGCTTTTTAAAAGAAAACCACATAACTTTTAAAAGGCATTGGGATTCCTCTGCTTCTAGATCATTGGTAGGCTAGAAAAATAAAGTTTGTTCTACCAGGAATCACAAGTTGGAACTGAGTATTCTCCAAAGTGGAAATTCTAGAGTGTAGTGTCACTCCAGGCAAAGATTATTCAGTTCTTATCCCCAATATCCGAAACTACCTATCAGAAGGGTTAAACCAGGTCAAAACAGTCCAGAACAATTAGGCTTCATCAAACAATAACATTATGCTCCTCTGAGATGCCAATAAACCAAAACAGGAAATACTAAAATCAAAATAGTATTTGACACTGTCATACAAATTGTTATTTCCTTGTTGTATCCCTCTTTCTGTAACATTAATAAAGGGAATATTTTACTGCAAAGAATATTTTATTTGATACATCACTAACCATGAATTTTTGCCATTACTTATTATACAAAGGCTTCCCTGTGACATTATCCAAATGGAATAAGCATTTTACATCCACAATTAACTTCTACAGCTATAAGCAGAATTTTCCTGATTTACATAAATACATCTGTCAGTGAAGATTTAACACTGAGATGCAATGTAACATCAGTAATATCTGATGTTTTATAGATGGCAATGTAGAAAAGACATATTTTAATCACTTTTCATTTAAGTGACCTTATGTAAAAAATAAACTAATAATTTAGCAGTTCCAAGTGTCCAAAGGGCATTTTCAAATGCACATAAAAGAAATGGTTACAGAGATTTTTAAGAAGCGTCTTCCATATCCACATCCTCTTGCACCTGCTGTACCATTTTCTATTCCAAATGCTTCCCTTTGCCTGCAAGAGGGGCTCGGATAACATGGATGTTTTGCTGGACTTCTTTGATATCCTAAACTTTATGTAGCTCTTTATTTTTTTCAGTCTGTTCATTATAAATTCAGCTTGGCGTTTCTGTTTGATCTCTTCAACTCTCTTCATTGCATCAATAGTTTTATTCCATAGCTCTCGCTGGTATTTGATAGGTTCATTTCTACGCGTTACAAATTCAAATGAATTATCCACTGTAAGCTCTTTCCCAGCTGCTTTCCGGAATGCTTTGGTCCACCTAACTTTGCGAGGATTGGGCTTCTTTTTAAAGTTTTTATGGCATTTAGATTTACAAAATCTGAACACCTTGCAATCGTTGCGTATGAACATCATGCCGTGGCCAGGGTAGATAGGCCCGGAACAGAAATAACACTTCTCGATACGCATGTTGAACCCGCGTGGGTCCCCACGGACAAAACGCCAGGCTTTGGAGGAAGTCGATATACTGTTCTTTGATTTGTGTCAGCGGCACGAGTATCTGCCGGGCTTTTGAAAATGTTGCTCTCTACCACTTGTTCAACCAGGAGCCAACTTCTAAGAGAATTGCATCTGCTGTTCTGGTGTAATGACTCCTGTCATTTCACAGCTCTCCATAGCTCATGTCAGGACCACTCAGTCTTTATATAAACTGTTGACTTCTTGCCAAGAGCAAAATACTCTAAACCACTAAGTGCTCTGCTTTGTCCTCTCCATACCACTGATCCCTACCCACTTGTTTTGATTTTGCAAAACCACTAATAACCTTAAAAGTACTTCCCAGGAGGCTTCTGAACACTGGATAATTATTTTACCCATCCACACACACACACAAATATCCACACACACTAAACGGATGAATTTCTCTAATCTCTTTTTAACTTTGCAACAATCTAAAAAGTCTTACCATTGCTGTGCAATTTTTGGCTATATTCTCAACCTCTCTGAGCTTTATTTCCATCAACAAATGGAGTAATACTTATTTGGCAGAATGTAAGGATTAAATAAAATAATAATTGGAAAACACATATTACAGGGACTGGCAAAATAAATGCTCAGTTAAAATGCTCTTATGCTATATCTTCCTTTTCCTTTAAACATAGAATATTTGGATTATAGAAATGGCATTCAAAGATCATACTTTCAGATTCAGTTGGAGCAAGCATTTTTCATGTCATTAGAAATGAGGTTCAATTATCCATTGAAAGCAATCAGTTGCTTTCATGGTAAGGTAATACTATCAGTATATCCAAGAATATTTATTCTCTTATTTGCTATATACTTATCAAGTTCACCTAACATGAGTTTCTCAGCATTTAAAATTTACAAAGCCCTGTATTTCATTTCTTGGATTACCAATTCTTCTAAGTGACTTTTCTGGTGTACCTTGATT